AGATGGACTAAATATTATTAGAATGGTAAAATATTATATTTAAAAATATTAATTGACCCCCTTAAAATATATTTTAATATAATTATCATAACATTATTATTTTGATCCCCTTAATATATATTTTCTGACTTCACTGCATCAGTCCCGGTAAACTTTGAAGCATTCTCCAAGATTTTTTTTCCCCTACTATTTCATTTAGTTACTTTTAGAAAAATTGAGGATTATGTTATGCTGTATAGTTGAAACACAAAAGAAAGAAAGAAAAAACTCTCCCGGTCAATAATATTGCACTACTGACAGATGCATGCAAAGACGGGAAAAAACAGAAAAAAAAAAAATAAAAAAGAAGCAACAAGATGAATAATTAAAATGTTTAAGAAAGTAATGAGGTTTAAATAAAAATATATATTTACCTCTTCTAAAATCTTAAAATATGAAAAAAAAGAAAAAGAAAACTAATTTAGAATAAATTTTAAGTCAAGAAAATAACTATTCTTATAAGAAAAAGTAGTTGGGTACCATCCATCAATAAAAATTTGATTAATTTAGTATTCATTAATTTAAAATTTTAATTTAAAATTAAAGTTAAATATTAAAATTTTTACATTATCAATCGGCTAAACTTCCAGTTTATAAATAAATAAATAACCAACGTAAGCTCTCATAACAATTGAAAGACTTTTTGTTTTTTTGTTTTTTTTTTTTTTGAAAGCAAGAAATTTTGAGGAATTATGGGAGAGTATTCAAACAGCAGCTCTCAAAAGTTTGAACCTCCCAACGCCGGGTGGTGAAAGCGACAAGCCCGAGTTTTTGAAAGCGCAAATTTTTTTTTTTTTAAATCTTAATAAATTTAACAGAGTTAATTATCAAAAACAAATCTTATATTTTTATTTTTATATAGGTTAAACCCTTATTTTGGTTCCTGAATTATTGTACGGACTCTTGATTTGGTCCCTGAACTAAAAAAATTCTTAATTTGGTCCTTGAACTATTGTACGAACCCTTGAGTTGGTCCCTAAACTATTGTACGGACCCCAAGTTAATCCCTAAACTATTTACAGATCTCTAATTTGGTCCTTACTGTTTACCAATTTAGCCCAAACTTGGTCATTCTGTTAAATAATAGTTCAAAGACCAAATTGAGACGAAATTGTAAATAATAAGGACCAAATTAGGGGTCCGTACAATAGTTTAAAGATCAACTTATGCCAAATTATAAACAGTGGGGATTAAATTGGGGGTCCGTACAATAATTTAGGAACCAAATCAGGGATTTTTTTAGTTTAAGGACCAAATTAGAAGTTTGTACAATAGTTTAGGGACCAAAATGAAAATTTAACCTTTTTAACTTGCCTGTTTCCTAGTAGCTTATGAAGCCTTATAATGAGATCAACTTCATCATCTTCAAATTTCCCTCTCTTGATATTTGGCTTTAGATAATTCAGCCACCTTAGTCTACAACTTTTCCTGCACCTGTTCAAGCCTAAAAACCCACCAAAAAAAAAAACTCGAATTAATAATTATATTGAAATCGTTGCACGGAAATAGGCATTTCAAAGATATTTTTTTTCCCCCTTATGAGTTTTATACCTGCTTTCACAGGAACTTGGTGCCATCTCCCTTCTCCATACCTCTGAATGCACCTTTTGAGAAGATCGTCTTCCTCCTCAGTCCAGGCTCCTTTTCTAACACCTAAAGGACCTTCCATAGTAAGTGCATATATGCACACAACTTAATTAAAACTGCATGCATATATATATATATATATATAGCCACAGGCGATCAGACGGCATGGGTGTGGGTCTATATCTTTCAAAGTGGCCTGCAAGCCTGTTAATTTGTACATCTCTCCACCGCAAATTGGTTCGGAGTTATTAGAATGACGTGCATGTATAACATCCACAGAGTTAGATCTAGTTATCAGGTTGCGGAGTTTGCATGGGTTCATTTGAGTCTTGAGTTTATTAATTAATTGGGTTATTTTGAGTTTAGAACTGAGGGAGTGAACCGATGACTCATGGGTTGTGAATTGGTTCGGGTGGACTCGATTTTTTTTAATTATAATTAAAATTAAATTTCCTAATATTTTTTTCATTTTTCTTAAAAAATCTAATATTAATAAATTAATCAATAAAAAATTCTATTAAATTAAAATTAATATAATAAATAAAAATAATTTTACATTTTAATTTTATTTTTTATTTAATAATTAAAAATAAAAATATATTTAATTAATATTTTGAATTAAAAAATAATTAATTTTGGCTAGGCACTTTAAATTGACTCAATTTAATCTTGACTTGAACTTGATTTGAGAGTGTTAAGCTGTAACTATAATTGTAGATTTTT